ATTCACAAACCTGCAGGAAAATGCAAGTTTCTTCACTTTGATTATTTTGACGAGAGCCTGATTCCACCACGCTACCTCACATATGTGTTTGTATAAAAGAAAGAACTGAGGGTGGTATTCAGAATGTCAGCAGGCAGACGGAGATATCGGACACCGATATTCTCCAGGTGGGAATCGAACTCACGTCTTCTTCGCACTACAGCGAAGTGTCTAACCATTACGCCGAGTTATAGAAGGTCATATCTGGAAAAAAAGAAGGAAAAAAAGAAAGGAAAGAGAAGTGCAACAGGGCGGATAATTTCATTTAGAAGTCAAATGCAGAAAGCCAGCATATTATTACAGACAGGTAGATCTATTCAAAGAAAAAGATTTTTTTTTTTCATCAATTTTTTACAAAAGTTTTACAATCCCTCTGATCTGAACAAAGAATGTTGAACAAACAAAGTATCAATTTTTAAAAAGTAGATCTTCCACAAACAACAATATACGCTCCGAAATACAATACAGAAGAAGCTATTATCCAGTAATATCTAATATTAATCCAGAATAATTCTTCTTGGTTCCCCAAACCGAAACGCCTAAAGCAAACGCGACGTACAGAGAAGATATAAAAAAACCCCGCTAAAAACTTTTTTAGAATTAATTTTTCTCTTTCCCTTCTCTTTTGGCCGATGCTTCTTTCACATTCTGGAGGCGCGTAGTTGAAATGTCTAGGAGCAATTCTCGGGGCCCAAAGAAATTTTTGGCGGGCTATCGAAGCTCAAGTGAGCTGTTGAGCGGTTTTTGCCCGGGTCGCGCGTGTGTGAGCATATTGGATACGTTAACGGGGGAGGCATTCATCCCCCCAGTTGTCCAATTTCGCCCTCAAAATGGAAGCATGCGATCAAAGTGTACACCCGGCAAATGAGCTTTTACGTCATTAGCTGCAGGGGGCTCCTCCATCTCTCTATCTGTGTCCCTCTGTGTCTCTGTCCCTCTGTCCATCTGTATCTCTCTCTCTCTCTCTCTCTCTCTCTCTCTCTCTCTTTCTCTCTGTCTTTCT